CGCGCTAAGTGAGAATTACTTTAGCGTAAATTTACAGCCATAAATGTATGTACGTAAGTACACGTGGGGGAGAGGGCGTAGATGAGTCTTATTTTCGAGTACATAGTGGCGCACCAGAACTTGCGCGCTCGTATTTTCACATTTTCGCCTAATCCGTGCGCCAGGCGTATAAATTTTCATTTAGCGCGTATTTTCCACACGAAATCGTACGGATGGGATTTAGAAAATTTTCACCATTGCGCTCCGACAATTTTCTCTTTCCCTTCTTTTGTGTGTGTGTGTGTGTGTGTATTTTTTTTTTTACTATTTTATGTATAGCAGTGAAATTTTCGGGCATTTCTTATTTTACTTTTTATTTTTAATTTTTTTTTCTCCAACCATTTTTGTTGTCTGAATAGTAGCATTTTGATTTTTTTTTTCATATTTTGAAGCACGAATTTTCAGTTAGTTTAGTAAGCGCTTTTAAGTACTTTTTCCAGTCAATTCAGTTGGCATTTAATTTGGGTACTCCAGCAGTGAATATGTGTGTGTGCGCGATTGTCTGTCTGCGCCGCATACTTTTTTGATAGTAACTTTCTGTGAAATGTACAAATTGGCCGTAAAAGTGCGGTTTAGAGGCACTTTTCGCTCATTCGCTTCAATGTTTTTTTTTTTTTTGTAATATTAACATCTTCCGCTTCTGCTGTCGTATTTTTTCTCTTCCTACTTTTTTCAGTTTGTTCCGCGCTATAGTGCATCACTTGCATTATGAAAGGAGTAGAATAGTTAGTGCCTGCTGCGGCTGGCAGCAAACACTCATATCTCCTTTTTGAATAGAAAACTGATTGTGTGGCGCAAACTGAAATACATACATACATACAAAGTACATAAAAACAAGCCAAATAAGTGAGGGAGCAATGACTGAAATGAATAGAAAGCAATGACTGCGTGAATGAGCGAGTGAATGAATGAATGACTCGTCTAAATCGCTTGAATTGTATGCGAACGAGTATGGCCAAAAGCGTCGGTCGGATTAAGTTGCCCAAAAACACAAAAACGGCAATGAAATGTTTGTGGATTTTAGCCAAAATGAGAAATTTAAATAACGGCGCAATTGCAACAAAAAGCAGCAAGAAGGCAATGAAATGAATGCTTAATAGCTACGAGGATACTTTGTATTTTGGGCACCTCACAAAAACAGTTTAATTTCGGCAAATGCTGGAGCTTTAAGCTGCATGTAAATATTTGAGTTAAAGTTATGTTGTAATTAATTATTAATTTTAGATGAAAATTATTTTATAATCTGAGCCTTCGAAGTCGAGTTTAGTTCAAATTTTTTAATATAGAATTTACTAATTTTTGCTTGATACTTTTTCAGGCATTCAGAAAAAAGATAGTTTATATTTACATGTACTTTTGAGGTTCCTGAAAAGTGCCGGAAAGTCATGAAAATATCCGAAAAATAATCCCACAAAGTCCCGAAAAAATCCGACAGAATCTAAAGGTTCCAAAAAGACCCAAATGATTCCACAAAAATACAAAAAATAAAGCATGAAGTACCGAACAAAATTCAGAAGAGTGCCGAAAAAATTTCAAAAGTTCTTGATAAATCTACAACGTTTCAAAGAAAGTCTCGCTAAAACCCGAAAAATTTATGAAACACGAAGTCTCGAGGAAATTTGGAAAATTCACAAAAAGCCCCGAAATAAGTTCTACTCGCTCTGTCCCGATAAGCCACAAAAGATAACGCAAAAATCTTCAAAAATCACAAAAAGTGCCGAAATATGTTTAAGAAACATTCCGAAAAATAAAACAGGAGCTCCCGAAAAAATCCGGAATAAGCCCGAAACATCAAGGAAAACCACCCAAACCATAAAAATTCAGAAATTGCCGAAAAATGCCAAAAACTCCCGTTTAACTCGGAACGGTTATCAGAAATTGCCCATAAGTCGCAGAAGATACTACGAAAAAAAATTCGGCAAAATCCCAAAAAAATATTCTAAATTTTATTTAAAAATAAATCACGAAGTCTCGAAAAGACCTCCAAACCAAAATTGCATGAATAAGCATGAAAGTGCTGATAAGCCATAAAAGATTTCGCAAAAATTCGAAAGAGCCCCAAAAATCCTAAACATTTTCAAAAGATCCCGCAAAGTAAAGTCTCGAAAAAGTCCATAAATGTCCCAAAAATCTTAAAAATTTCCGGTAGCGCTTAAAAGTTCATGAGAAGATCTTGAGAAATCTCGAAAAAATCAGAAAAAAAACCAGCAAAAAACTAGGTCCCGAAGAAATTCATAAAAGGTCAGAAAAACTACAATAAAGTTCTTTAGTATACAAAACGTCTCACAAACAGTCGCACAAAACATCCCAAGAGATCCCGATTAATCCAGAAAAGTCGCTATAAACTCTTGAAAACTTTCGAAAAACCCCGAAAAATCAAAAAATCAAAAGTCCCAAGAAATTCGCAAAAAAAGAGCCAAAAGTTCGCGGTAAAAACCATGATAAAGTACCAATTAGCCGCAAAATATCCCCCAAAAATCTGAGAATAATCCGAAAAGTTTCAAAAGGTCCCGAAAAATAAAACAAAAAGCCTAAAAAAAATCCATGAAGGCCACGAAAAACTGAAAAAATGTTCACAAGATCTCGAAAAATAAATATCGAAGGCCCAAATAATCTATAAAAGTCTCTACAAATCCGAAATTTCTCAAACGGTCGCGAGAAATTCCTGACAAGCCTCAAAAGTACTCGAAAGAGTACTAACATTTTGTTGTTTCTCAGAGAAAAAACTTAAAACATTGTTAGAAGAGATTTTTTGTATCTAATCAATTACTTTGTTGAATGTTTCGAGACTTTTGAAAATATAAGCCATTAAGATCAAAAGCGTTACCAGAAAAACTACTACTTTATGTCCTCAAACTTTATCAAATTTTTTTAAATCGAAAATTTTTTTGCCTTGAAAACTGATAAATTTTGAAACTTATTTATATAAATTGATAAACTCACTAAGTTATAGCTGGTCAAATTAGACCAGAGACCGTACCGGTTATGCATTTTATAATAAAAGTAAAAAAATTTAAGTTATTTTTTGAGTTTTATCATTTTGAGCAAATTGTAACGATTATTTCTGCTTTTTATTTTTTTAAGGCAAAAATAAAAGTTTAAATATGCCTTTTATTTTTTTGGGCAGAAAATAATCGGTAATTGTTGACTTTTATTTTTATTTTTTCAGGCAAAACTAAAAGTCAAAGTTAAAAATCAAGTATTCCAGAGCTGTGTATATTCGAGTGTGATAGTTTTGAAGCTCCTACATGGACTTTAATAACCCCTATACCCAAATACCAGGGTTAGTTCAAATCTATATACATATGTATGTATACACACAATACATGAAGGGAGTTTTTATTAACGGCATCAGATCTGCACTGATTATTCGATTTTCAAAACTGAGGCGCCAAATTAAAGGGCTTTTCCACCAAATGTATATACCAGCAGGTGGCAACCCTATTTAAAAAACTGAGATCTTCTTGCACATCTACAGGCCCTTCTGTTTGCCACCTCGTCTGTTTTAATACAACGAACGGTGTAAGTCTTCTATTTTAGAAGCAGGTGGCAACCCTATTCAAAAAACTGAAACCTTCTTGCACATCTACAGGCCTAGCCCTTTCATTTGGCACCTCTCCTGTTTTAATACAACGAACGGTGCAGATTTTATAATTCAAACAAAGGTGGCAACCCTATTCAAAAAAGTCATGCCTTGTGGTATATACATCTAAGCCCTTTAATTTGGCGCCTCAGTTTTGAAAATCGAATAATCGGTGCAGATCTGATGCCGTTAACGAAAACTCCCTTCATGTATTGTATGTATACATACATATGTATATAGACTTGAACTAACCCTGGTATTTTGGTATTTGGGTATAGGGGTTATTAAAGTCCATGTAGGAGCTTCAAAACTATCACATTCGAATATACACAGCTCTGGAATACTTGACTTTTAACTTTGACTTTTATTTTTGCCTGAAAAAATAAAAGTCGACAATTACCGATTATTTTCTGCTCAAAAAAATAAAAGGCAAATTTTAACTTTTATTTGTGCCTTAAAAAAATAATCCTTATTATTTGATCATAATGATAAAAGTCATATTTTTAAAAGTCATGGAGGAATCAAAATCTACAATGAGAGACGAGTCTAACGGTAGCTTTGAAAAAGCTATAACATAATTTTTTCACTATGCCTTTTTGATATCAAAAATTTTTATATAACTTTTATTTTCAGTCTCTGAATTAAACATATTGTCTAATTTTTAGGATGTAGAAAAAATAATAATTTTCAAGCCCAGGTACCGACCCCAAAACTATCTTTTGTTTTAATTTTGAAATTTGTATCTAACATTCTATGCCAGCACCAGTATAAGAACTAACTTTCGTTGATTGATACCACGCTCTCGGCTCAGTCAGAAATTGAAATTCACAATACTATGTACTTATATGAAAAATGTGCTCACTTATAAAAGCTGCTTAAGTAATGTCAAAATAATCTTATTTTTGGTAATATTAATTTACACAAAATTCGCCTGTCAATCATTTCAGATGACTTCTACAAACAGCGCATTTGCAAAAACAACAAAATACTACGGATAACAAGATACAGATTTAACTGCAGGCGAATTCAGTTAAAATCGCATCTGTGCAAAAATTTGTGCATTCGTGCATTTAAGTGAAATTGCAAATGTCTGAGTTGCAAGTGAAACAGCCAATTATGTATTATCTCTGATATAATTTACTGGAGACACAGATTTAAGCAAAACATAATCAAAACTTTATTAAATTATGAAAATGTGAGATAACTAGGTTAATAATTGCAACTGAATTTATTGAAACGAATACAATTTTTTCTAGAAAATCTACTGAAAAACTATATTAAATTCTATTTATGTATGTATGAATATACTATACGTATAATAATGCTGTGCAAATACTGCGACTATGAAAATTTAATTACTATTTTCTATTTTCCTTAGGGTAAATTCACATCAAAATCGGATGTTTGGTCTTTTGCCGTAACGCTGTGGGAGATATTAACTTTTGCGCGCGAACAACCCTACGAACATTTGACAGATGAGAAGGTCATCGAGAATATCGGACATATTTATGCAGATGATAAGTTGCATGTGAGTATTAGACATAGGAAAATTATGTACTAAATTTCTGCGTACATAAATATTTGAACGCTTGAAAGTAACTGGACGAAAATTTTGGCCATTTAAATACTGGACATAGTATGTACATATTTGAAATTTTGTTAAAAGCTAAACATAAACTTCTGGTCACCAAAAAACTGGACATAAATTTTGGTCAATAAAAACTGAACATAGTATGTATATTTTTGGTCATTTAAAAGCTTCACAAAACTTTGTTGTCATTTAATATCTGGATAAAAATTTTTTAGCGTTTAATCTGGACATCATATTTTGGTCATTATAAAAGCTGGACATGAATTTTTGGTAACATTAAAACTGCACATACATTTTTTTCAGTTTAAAATTGGACATAAATTTATGTTTATTTGAAAACTTTTCATCAACATCTGGTCGCTCAAAAACTGGGAAGTACTTTTGGGTAACGTGAAATCTAGACATGAAATTTTGGTAAAAGCTCAAGATAAACTTTTGGTCAACAAAAAAGTGGGGATAAATTTGTCCATTATAAAAGCTGGACACCAATTTTTGGTAACATTAAATCTGCACATAAATTTTTGGTCACATAAAAATTTTACATAAACTTATGACATTTTGAAAATTATTCATAAACTTTTGGTCGTTTAAAAACTGGGCATCACTTTATGTTAGCATAGAATCTAGACATGAAAGTTTGGTAAAAGCTGAACATAAACTTATGGTCAATGAAAAACTAGACATAAATTTTTGGAAGATAAAAAAATGGACCAAAAATTTCTGTCATTTACAAATTGGACACATATTTTTATTCTTATTTTGGTCAGTTGAGAAGTGCACCAAAAAAAAACACCGAACGAAAATTCGTGGTCACTTAGAAACTGGAAAAAGTTGGGCATATAAAAGCTGGTTATATAAAGTGGACACTAAAAAGATGGGTAGAATCGTCTACCTACATACATTTTATAAGTGCTTATAAAATATAGACAAAAAAATAGGCGTACTACTATTGAATTGTAAAAAGTGTGCATAAAAAACTTAACAGTAAAAGTGGACATATGTGTCTTCTATATTTTTTATACATCTTTCAAAAGATTATGTACAATTGTCAACGTCAGTTTTATTTTTTCAATTCCTAATGATTTCTGTCCACCTTTTACATGGCCAAAAATTAGTGTTCAAGTTTAAATGGCCACACTTATTTTCAACTTTTAAAAGACTAAAAATTTATTTTCAATTTTTAAGAGACTTAAATTTTTTTAATATTTAGAGACTAAAAATTTATTTTTAATTTTTAAATTTATGGCCAATTTTAAGTTACGAAAAATATATGTCCATTTTTTAATTACCGAGAAATTATTTCCAATTCTTTAGTTATTAAAGCATTAAGTCGAATTTTTAAATAGTCAAAAATTTATGTCCCCTTTTTAAACTACCAAAAATTTAAGTTTCGTTTACCAGTTAGTACTAAATATAGAATATCCAGTTTTTAAATTATTAAAATTTTTTGTCCAATTTTTAAACAACTACAAATTCATGTTCAAATTTCAAATGGGTTAAAATTTATAATCAATTCTTAGATTACCTAAACTATATGTATGGGTTTTTTTATTACAAAGCTCTAAAAATTTATGTCTAGTTTTGTAATTATCAAAAAGCTATGTCCAGCCTTTAAATGGCCACAAATATACATAGGTCTAGTTTTCAAATGACCAAACATTTTTTTCAAACTTTTTATTGCTCTAAAAATTTATCTCCAGGTTGTTAGCTATCAAAAAATTATATTTGGTTTTTTAATTCTCAATTTTTAAATAACCAAATATTTATGTCTAGCTTTTAATGTTCTAAAAATAATTATGTCTGTAAAATTAATTATGTCTGTAAAAATAATCTCTGTAAAAAAAAATATGTCTGGTTTTAGCAAACAAAAATATGCCCAATTTTTAAATTTCTAAATATATGTCTTGTTTTTAGTTGCCAAAAAATTATGTCTAGTTTTTTAATTAACAAATATTTATGTCTAGTTTTTAATTACCAAAAAAAGTATGTCCACGTTTTCAACTATCCAAAAACTTTGCCTAATATATAAAGCTTTCATATGCAATAAAATATTTCATAGCATTATACAAAACTTAAAATGTCACTCAGCCATCAAAAGCCCACTTATGGAAGTAAATAATTTGTATCTCTTCATTCTCATAGGAGCTGCTGCCGATGCCGCTGAATTGCCCGCGTGAAATCTATGATTTAATGTGCGAATGCTGGCAGCGAAACGAATCGAGTCGACCAAATTTCCGCGAGATACATCTATTCCTGCAACGGAAGAATTTAGGCTTCAAGCCCAACAATGCAATGCATTACTAAAATTTGCAAAAAAAAAAAGATAGAAATATTTTGCAAAACAAAACCAACGATTTTGCAAAAAATCTCGAAAAAATGGTAAGCTACACAAAAGATGTGCATAAATCATAAAAAAAAAAAAATTATAAAACACCGCTTGAATGGCAGAGAAACCGTAGCATTTTTATGTAAAGAAAAAAATATTATGAGCAAAGCAAAACCTGGCGAATTTACTACTTAAATAAACGTATGTATGTATGTAAGTGACAAATGACTAGTGACTAATGACAACTTACAGCTGGGCGTGAAGAGTTATGCTGTAAGAAATTATCATTTCACTCAGTAACTGTAGTTAAGTACTTACTTCGTAGAAATGTAATAATAAATAAGTAATTGTGGTGTAATTCTGTAGCTGTTAAGCGAGGCAAAACAAAATATATTTTCTGATGGAAAAGGTAAAGCAAACTGTTTGTATGACGTGTGGAAATCTCTTATAATGTTTAAGGCTAAATTTAAGCTACGAAAGAATAAAAAAAAAAATTGTAAATTTCTGTCAATGGCCTGTTTGAGGCCTCAAAGCGAATACACATCATTAGCATTTTTAGTAATAATATAAGGATATATGTATGTATGTACAAAAGGAGTGATGATTATACATTTGTTTCTGTATTAAACTCGAATAAATGCAAACTTAGCAATGAGCTTAACTTTTTACACCTAAGACGGTGGTTATCATTAAAAGCACAGTACTTGCTTATGATGGAGTCAACATTGGGTCGTATGCATAAAAACTAAGCATTTGCTTTTTCTTAAAATTCCATAACTTTCATTTAAATTTATTTGAACAAATCGAGTAAGAGATCTGAAATTTTAAGAAAAAGCATTTGCCATTGAGTTTTCAAGTTTTCCTTATTTTTTTTTTTGTTTTGTTATGTCAAAATTAATACATCTCTACACACTGTACTATAGAAAGAAATCAAATAAGTAGTTGTGATGATCTAGGACTAAAATCGGAGAGCTGCTTTAACATATTTTGAGGGAACAGTATTTTGAGAGAGCTATAAGGTCGCAATTAACATTGGAGCTTTGCAGCAACAACTCGCATTCCAGGACAATTCTTAGAGAAGTATAAGCGATTTTCAAAGGCCTTTAGAGCAGTGTGGCTGTCACTGCAGACCCTAATTTTATGTCCCCGCCATTTTTCGCCAATTATCCCTTATTTAACAAAGTATCCATCGCCGCTGCTGTCGTTGTGCTCATGACGCCGTTAGGGCTTTGCACACACTCCCGTGTGGTCTGTTTAACATAGAAACTCTAGTTGTGTCTGATAATTCTCTTCCACCTTAATACACCAGAAAACATGACGATGTTCGAAAACGGCGCACAGTGCAGTGCAGTGCAGCTGTGCTCTTAGCATGTCATAATTGGATTCTCCGAAATTATGATTTTTTAAGTTATTTGTGTGAAAATGAAATTTGTGTTCAAATTATTAATTTTAGTAAAAAAAAGTCTTAAAAAAATAAGCTCAAAGTTAAAAACAATTTCGGAAAAAATTGCGTTTTCAAACACACACACGCTATTGGTAACACACAAATATATGTATATGGAAATGCTGCATATTGTAATTTTGAAAAAATCATAAATAAAAGCAGAAGTTCGCCTATTCACAAATCAAAACTTTTTTTCAAAAGCTCCAAAAAAAGTTTGTTTCTTATTTTTAAGTAGAGTTTTAATTGGTAGCGCTGTCTGCCGCTGACAAGTTAAATATACCGTTAGAAACTGAAAAGTATTAAATTTAAGTTGAATAAAAATTGTTTCTCCGAAACTATTTTGATTTCTTTTATTTTTGAGTGGAATTTAAACTGGTTGTGAGCAAAAAATTTCAAAAATCGATTTTCAAAAACCGGTTTTTGTTAAAAGTAACCAGTTCAGTTTGAAATCTACACTTCATCAGACATTAAGAAAGTAAGTTCTATGAAATTTCAGTCAATCTTTTTTTCTTTTCAAATTCTATTGAGAAAGTTTAATTTTACGAAAACGGTCAAAATTTCTTAATACGGTCCCTTGCTCTAATATTTTTGCGCCCTAGCAGTTTTTAAAACAACAACCTTTAAGAATAAATAAAACAATTATCAAAAATCCTTCGTGATGGAGTAACATTTTTTAAAATAAGCCCACCCCGCCCTAAATTTTTGTGGCAAAATGGTGGCAATTTTTAACCGACTTCAAAAAAGGAGGAGGTTATCAATTCATCGCACAATTTCTTTTTTTATGTATGTTACCATAAGTTTTGGACCACGTTAACCAGTTTCTATAATTTTTTTAAAGGAAAGACGGCACCTCAGAGATGGTCCCCATACTAATTTTGTTTAGATCCGATCGGTTCGGTTTCGGTTCTTTGCTTAAAAATTACTTGTATATATTAAACATTTTTGACCATTGCATTTATTTTATTGAGAATACGATCTGAATCAAGACATTTATTAGTCGTGTGGAATGGAGGAATTTAGAGTTCAGATTTTTGAGACGCCTAGCCTCTGTCTGAACCACTGTGCAGCGCTCTGGTTTGACGGTACGCACCAACATATTAATATAATGTTAGTAAACTAAGAAGTATTCGCAGGACAGCGGGCGCAGGAGTAACGGAGTAAGATCCTGGCCGACAGAACCGCTACATTTTATTCCCGACCAGAACCCAATCGAACTTCTCCTGAAAGAAGTGGCTACAAAGCTAGTGGTCAGACTCAGAGAGTCAGGCTCTTATGGATTAAACACTTGAGGAATGGGCGGCTATTTATTTTGTAGACAACCAAGACTTCAGCTGTGCCAGAAGAGAATAGAGAAGAGACCGATTGGCCGATAGAGTGGGTATCTCTCTATACTCCGACGGATTCAAGATGGATTGCAGTAGAGAAGCGGAAGTCTTCTCTAGAAGCCTGTCAAATCGGGTACAACACTATTCTTACCGACGACGCTATTTGCATTGGTATCTCCGGTTACCAAATCTAAGCTGATTAAAGAATGCAAAAATTAATTGGGGGCAGAGTCTCAGTCAACTGCCGTCTCTTTTGTCTGGGTCTCCGGATATAGGTACTTCGAAGGCAATTGAAGGGTTAGTGAACTGGCAAATGGGCAAGAGCCAGTTTGGCTGATTTGGTAGCGGTGGCAGTGGGTTGCCCTCTTGAAATAATCCAAAGGGAAATTGCGCTGCATTCTGTTGGTCAGATATACTTCTTAGATATCAAGAAAACCCCTTGCTGATCATAACAGAAAGTAGACCTTAGATCAGCCTAATAGCTCAAGAATAGAATTATAGCGGTATTTATGCGCCACTTGGCCCCTAGGCAAACCAGCGGCAAGTGCAACTAAATGGTGCTTCTAGGAAGCACTGTAACCAACCATTCAATAGTAGTTATAGCCGAATGCGAGACCAGCTGCATAAACGTTTAATAGAGCCTTTTTTTATAATATCTCCCTTACACTTTAGCATCTTTCATCCTGGCCAGGTGAATTAAATTTGTCAAAAGGGGCCTCTTTAATCGTGGGGTGCACCGGCAGGAGGCTGCGGTAACTATCAGACTGGCCACACCGCGATCTCAAACATAACATAACATACTAGAAAGACTAGGCACGCATTACTGTGTCTGACAAGTCTGAAAGGCACAAATTATGATTTCCATTCCAGACACAGAATTTTGATCAAGAGGAGCTCCTAATGAAAAGGCATCACTGCACTGCTACACCGACGGTTCTAAACTAGACGGCAAGATAGGAAAGGGGTCTTCTCAGCCCAACTGGGTCAGAAAAAATAATTTCGCTTACCCAACAACTGCAGCGTCTTTCAAGTCGAAGTCGCTGCTATTCAGAAGTGACTTGAACACCTACGTACTGGAGAAGTCATATCCTAATATACTCAGAGCAGAGTGGACTATGGCGCAGCCGTGGATCTATTAACAGGCCATGTTGCCATCGGAAGGCACGCGCAGAGGTTATGGGTCCCCCAAAACAACTTCTGCAGAAGCTGCAGAGATGAAAAAGTGACGGAAACCTTACGGCACCTGCATTTTGTAGAAAAAAAGGCGAAAGTTCATAGGCTCAGGAGTTTTCGAAGATTTAACCGACATAGCCGAGGTGGGTAGCTTCTGGGTTTCACGACTTTTTCGACTTTTCTGGAAAAAAAAAATTTTTCGGCGCAATTTTGCAGAACTTTTTTTCCTCTTTCAGGAACTCTAGAACTATTGAAAAGCTACTCAGAACAGTTTTTTTATCTTTTTGTGTCATACCGAGTGCCAACTTCACAGAGATGACAGAGGGAGTCTCGCGATGAAACCATTTTCTGTAAAGTTTTTCGTTCGGTAAAAAAAAATCAGGTTATAAACCTCAATTTGGATTCAAATTAGCGTGTGTCTTGACAGTATGTATACTTTTAAACATATATTTTTTTTAATTTTTTTTAATTTCTTCTTTATGATGAAAAGATCAGTGAATGGCTAATAATATGTACATATTTATGTAAGTATGAAAAAAAAAATTCAGAAATTACATATGATAGTTTAAAGCTTAATTGAGACTAGAAACTTGTAAGAATAAAAATAAGTAAAATTTATATAAATATAAATGTAAAAAATAAAAACAAAAGTAAAACACATAATTAGATTTAAAAATTAAAGAATCGAATAAAAATATAAAATTTTTAAAAAAAACATTAATACATAAACTAGACGTTCATATGTGTACCTATTTCCGCCGCCTGACCTGTCTACAAAGAATCCAATTCTCAGCAAAGCAAGAAAAATACTCAAAATGCTTCTAATACAAACAAAAAAACTATTTAAATGATGACAAACAAAATTGAAAAACAAAACAAAAATACTTACATACATAGATACTATCACTATATCTTATATGCATGTACACTGGTTATCAATACTATACATACAAAATGAATACATATTATAAATTTGACATATGGCAAAAACGTACTTAAAAATAATACTTAAATATTTAAAAAAAAAATACTTATTTTCTTTAATGAAAATAAAATATTTCCCAAATTTCAATTAAAAGAATTTAATACTGGCTATATAAAAAACTACGAATTAAAAAGCACCTGGATTTTTGAAATATATAAAAACGATTCGTTGTAAAACTAGAACCTGCGTATATGTAAATGTTTTTGACAATAAGAAAAGCTAAAAATTAAAATTACACTTTTTTCGAGCAGCAATTAAGCGAAATATTAGAGTAAAAATACTTTTTGTAGTTTAAATTAGCATCTTGTTGCATTAAAAATATTTTTGGCAAACACTTTTCAACATGTTTCTACATATCGTCATTAGCACAGCAAGTGAAATTTTTTGGAAATATTTTTTTTTAGTTTTTAGTACTTTTTCTGTTAGTTTGCTCTGTCAAAGGCTAATGCCGTATTTCCACTGGACATTAAATGCCAAAAACGGTTAA